TTTGGGGGATGACCCCCTCGGGTAGAAATGGCAATGGGCGGGTTCAAAGTAGGGATCATACTCTTCATCTTGACCTCGAGTTTAATGTTAATCCCTATCTTTGACCTTGATCTTCATCGGAAAAATATTTAGCCTGCATCCCCGGTCCTCGACGGAGACGAGTTCCCCATCGGGGACTTGAATCCCCGAATTTATTAACTAAAAGTTTGTTTTTAGAAAGGTATTTACTATAAAGAAAAAGTAAAATGCAAATAATATTTTAAATATATTTTGAGATTTATAACATAAATAATATTATATATTTAATATAATGTATATACACATATATAATTGGGGTCGAGGCGGCGTGTGGACTTTACTCCCTGATGTAGGCGCTTTAGCCAGGCCTTTGGCGCATTGGCACATGGCCAAGGTCGAAGCCAGTCAATACATCATACAGGGTAGGGGTCAGTGTCCAGCGCGGGACCAATGGTGCGACCACACGCTGCGGTTCTCAGATGTCCTCCCGCCTAGGGCTAAGATCCCATCCTGACTGTCCACAGCGTCCGCCATCAGGCGACCTCAAGTATAAATAGGGTGACATTCCCCCAAGGTAAGGGAGGCCCAATCCAGAACTTGCATTCCCAGTTCTAGCTCTCCAGCTCCTGGGCGACCTCGTTCAAACCCCTCAGACCTCGTCCGCCCTCTTTATTCCACCCTACTAACTTGACCACCGGAGTCCCCACCTCGGGTCCCCACCCGAGGCATCTAACATCCCCTTTCTTCGCAGGTCCCGGTCCTCAGAGTCCTTGGCACTTCTCGGATCACGCTAGCCTTCGGCCTCGGCACCCCTCGGAGTCCTCGGCCTCCACCAACCTACGGCCTGGGCCTTCCTCGGAACCCATTGGTTCTCAACTAGATTTCACCAACCCTCGGGCTTAGAAGGCCCTCGCCCTCAACATTTCACAGATCCTCTTAGCTAGTTCGTCCGAGAGACAAGGTAAATTTACTGTGTTGTCCTCAGCCCATTCTGAGTCACAACAATTGGCATTGTCTGTGGGAACGACTGCTAAGTCTTCCCCCCAACGCTACGACTCAGCTTCCAATGAAATGGCTAGAAGCAAGGAAACTAAGTAGAATTTGGTCACCAGGGACCAATTTCCAATAGTCCTTGATCGGCTCGATGACCTCACGCAGAAGCTTGACAAGGTGCGGCAATCAGCAGGAGGCCACCCGCCAATAGTCCTTGACCGGCTCGATGACTTCACGTAGAAGCTCGACAAGGTGCGGCAATCAGCAGGAGGCCACCCGTAGGGTAGCCACCCCGCTGAAAGCTGGAGGCATTGCCGCGGACGCCCTTCGAGGGCTCTGCCAGCTAAACGCCTAGCCGAACCCCCTCGGTTGATCCCTTAACGTCTGGCGGAAGTATCCGGAGTGTGGATCAGCCGTCGAGGACCCTCCAGCCTTCCGATCAAAGGGAGAACGAATCAGTACGACCTCGCAACCGATGAGCCAAAAGGAACCGAGACGCAGCCATCCTATCCCTCGACCAGTAGATCGCCGACTTACGGGCACAACTCGACACTGTGAAGGATGAAGTTCGGTAAGTCAAGGAGAGTCGAGCTGACACCTCAGCAAGCCAGCACCCCTCCACCAAGATGAACGCCTTCACCGCCGCCATCACCTCGGAACCTCTTCCGCATTATTTCAAAGCTCCCACACTAAAAGCTTACGATGGCACCTCGGACCCAAACGAGCACCTAGAGAGCTTCCGTGCACCCATGCTCCTATACGGGTATTCTGATGGACTGATGTGCCGAGGCCTCTGATGTCCCCTTTCTTTGTAGGTCCCGGTCCTCGGAGTCCTCGGCACTTCTCGTATCCCGCTAGCCCTCGACCTTTGCATCCCTCGGAGTCCTCGACCTCGGCACCCCTCAGAGTCCTCGGCCTCGACCTTCACTGGCCTACGGCCTGGGCCTTCTTTGGAACCCGTTGGTCCTCGACCAGACTTCACCAGCCCTCGGCCACAATGCACCTCAGGCTTAGCAGACCCTTGCCGTCAATAGTTGATAGATCCTCTTAGCCAGATCGTCTAGGAGACAAGGTAAATTTACTATGATGTCCTCAGCCCATTCTGAGTCACAACACTCCCCATTCCCATCCTAGTCCTCAATTAGATATTCCTATTAATCCCATCTCCACCATGTCCCTGCTAAGGCAGTCTCCTTTCCATCCCCGCCTGATGGGGGAGGCCAGGTATTCGAAGGGGATGGGAAAAATTGTCATCCCCATCCTCGGGTTGTATAGTCCCAAATAGCAATAAGTCTTAACATCCTTTTCCCATACATCGCAAAAGGGCCCGCTAGTTAGTAGTTACTGTCATATTCTGCTTAAAGGTAGGTAGGATAACGGGTCTGGATATTGGTCTTACTATCATACACTATGAGAGTGACCTCTATAGTAAAGGATAAAGATAACAATTGACATGTATAATCAAATTGTACCAAAATCAAAGCAAGTATTTGCCTTATAACAGGATAGATTTTGAGTGCAGTATTGCGCTGTAGATGGCCAACTCTCAAGCAGGTTCACAAACCTGAATTGTCGTTCATCCAAAGCCTCCCTTCCTCTCAAAGATTCCAATCCGACTGATTTACGGAATGGGCCTACGGTTGGGTCTATTCAAGAGCGTTTCAAAAGGGTCAGGGACAACAAACTGAGTCAGAAACGTCAAGCTCCCGCTCCCGGTCTAAATTCTGAACCCAGAATGGTGGAATTTGGAAACATTGAAGCCCAAATCTTTGTGTTTGATTTAATAATTCAACTTTGTCGTACTCTTACTATCACCCCCTGACGTCCCTGCAATATTTAGAATTTTTAAGTCAAAGGTCCACCGTCCACGATGAAAATTCTTTACACAAGAACGTGGACCGGAGACCCATTCAAAATTTCAAACAAAGCTGTAGAGTTCTAAGCCCTCAACACCACCCCATCTAAGAATGGTTAGTTCTCCACTTTTCCTCACTACTTGATTGATAACTGAAACTCTGAAAGGTTCAACACTTCAACTTGACATAGACATGTTTCTACACGGTGAACCAAAAGTCTCGATGGCAACTACATCTTCTGAAACATAAAAAAATAGTATACCATATAAAATATAGTAGACCATGTTACGTGCAGTAAATATTAGTGAATACACTGTTTGAAGCATTAGGCTGGTTTTATATTTGATTTAATAAATTTAATTTATTCATTGTTTTTGTTTTGTTTTTTGTGAATGAAAAGCCTGGCATGGCTATGTGTTCGAGGGGTTTGCCACATGACAGTGCGGAGCTTTTCCGTTTTTCTGCTGTGAAAGAGGTAAGAGAGAAATGGGAACCGGCGTTTTTGGGCAATATTCGGCACCGGTGCTGTTTTTTGAGAAAATGACACCACGTAGGTGATACATAAAATAAAAAAAAAAAAAAAACTGTGCTTCAAACAACAAACCAGATTTCCTACCCACTCTATCCATCATGAATTGCAGCCATACATCTGAGATGTGTGGCTCCATTTCACAATAGGTTAGGTAGAGTGAGTAGGAAATCCCGACTATCAAACAATACCACCATTTTTTTTAAAACGGTGCGATGTTCACAGCACACTTGTGAGTTGTGATTCCCATAGACATTGAGCCTCTAACCTCGTAGAACAACCAAGCTTAATTAATTCATTGTTCAATTGAATGAATTGAGAGAATTTTTTTTTGGTAAGAATGAATTGAGAGAGTATCACCGAGACTTGAGCCACTTGTCAATTGTCATTGTTTTTTGATGATTCTGCCGGGAAATTGAGCAACTGACTTGGCCGAACACCCAAGAGCACCAGTATACTCGCCACTACATACCCAAAAAGATTTAAGAAAAAACAGGAATAAAGAAACGAGAGAACAAAGTAAGAGAGAGAAATAGGTTGGTGTAAATAGGCAATTTTAACTTAATGACCATATTACCCTCAATTAAGGTGTCCCAGATTCATGTGGTCGTGCTAGAAGCAACCTACCTAACCAAACTGATTACGAACCGACTAATAACCAAAGGGAGGATCCTTCAATTCCTTTGCTTGTTGGGCTCTTCCCAAGGGGCACTGCACTGGTGAGTGGTGACTGACCTATTTCGTAATTTGCCATGATCTCGTGACAATAAAAGATTCAAGCATTGAAAGAATAAATGCGTTTTGGGGAACAGTGGAAAAAGTTTGAGATGGGTCGGCCACCCTCTCTCGGCTTTAATCGAGCCCCACCTCCACCCACTTCGTTACTCGAGATGCGATAACATATAATAAGCAATTAGATGTTTCCGACTTTCCGTTGTTTCAGCACAACGCACACTCTCTCTCTCTCTCTCTCTCTCTCTCTCTCTCTGTAACAAAATCAAGTGCAGATTTTTTGGAATCAAGAAACAGGCACTTTTATAGAGTTTTGGAATTGCAGCTTCACGAGTTCTATCTTCTATGTATTAGAATTCCTAGATTCTGATAAGAGAGAAAATAACAAAAGAAAGAAAGAAACTCAGAAAACACCCCAAATACAGTTTCCCTCTAACGGCTCCGTTATTCCGAATGTTGGCTGGTTATTGCCCCATATACAAACCATATCAAAAATGGATTGAAACGTAAAAGATAATCAATCCAACAAAAAAAAAATCAGAATGATCAGAGATAAAGAACATTAAAAATAAGGAGAATGGGACTTCTATTGATGTTTCAACACTCAAAGGGAACTCGGAATAAGGGCAAAAGGAATAAATAACAAGTTGAAAAAAATGAAGATGACGCTTCAGTTGCTGCGGATGAAACTTAGAATCCTCCTGATTATTGATCGACTATCCGCTGAAATTTCATCATGTTATCAGAAAAATTCGGTCTGCTTCCATGCCCACCGATTGATTATAAGGAAAAAGAAAAACAGAGAGACCCATAGGAACGAAGAAATGTACAGAGAGGCACAGATTATGAGCAGAAGAAATGGAGCTTCAGAATAATGAAAAAATTACTCGTTCTCTTTTTAATTTTTACATTGCAAAAAAGTTAATTTACACAAAAAAAAAGTTGCGGAAGAACAGGGAAAAACTACATAGCAAAAAAAAACTCCTTTAACAGAGGATTGAACTGAACAAACCTTTTTTCGATTTTCTTCATTTTATTAGCCCCAAACACCCCAGATCCTCTCCCCGATGAAACTCACAAACCTCCTCACAGAACCCTTCTCCATCTCCTCCACTTCTTTATCTCCACCAATGTCATCACTACTCTCCTCCACTACTTCCGACTTATTCAGCTCCTCCCTACTCGGACTTTCTTCCAAGCGATTTCCGTCATCCGAAATATTGACCCTCTTCCTCCTCTCTTTCTTGCTTTTGATGTTGGACTTCTGCACCAAACTATCTTCGAAAGCATCGATTATCTCATGAATCAGCTGATGGTTAGGCGAAGAGTCCCACCGAACCCAATAGCTCGTATAGCACCGGAAGCAGTTGCAGTGAAAAGAAGGTGGGTGATCCCCAGTAAGATTCTTCTGATTGTTCTTAGCTCGACCGCCGGAAGTGTTTGAATAGCTACCGGAGCAAGATAAAAGATAAGCCAATACTTCCCTATCTTCGGGGGGCAGCGCCAAGGTGAGCGTCAGAATCGTCGCAGGAAGGAAAGCGAGGTGGTCAGAGACAACCGGAGGCGATGGGTGAACTTTGCCTTTTCTGTAGAGCTTCTTCATTCCCGATCAGTCTTCTCTCCTTTTTCGATTCTTTTCTCGACAGCTCTTCTATATTCTGGTTTTTAGATGGACAGGACGAGAGGCACACCAGAGGCGAGGGTTGAATTGAACTTTGAAGTTTGAAGGGTCGTTGGGTTAGATTTTACCAGAGAGAGAAGAGAGAGAGAAACGGCCATCAAGTCATCGTAAGAATCTTTGGGGAGCGTTCCTATGCAACGCGGTAATTCCGCACTGTGCAGTACGGTACAGTGATACAGTGTGCATGCGTAGCACGGTATATTGTAGAGATATGATGGGACCTACCACTCCCAGTATTGGTGGCTTGGTGGTGGGTCCAACACCCATGACATGTTACGCGTACATCGCTGTTTGGTTTAAATGGTTCTTACAAAAGAGATTCTCTCACGATTAAAGATCAAGTGGACTAGATGATTTCGGCTGGTTCTGGACTTGTGAAGTGTGGGCCCCTTACTTTTGGACCATTGGGGTGACTTTTCTACCGGTAGCGGGGCCCAGAATAGTTGAACACAAAAACACTGGTTCTTAGCTTCCAGTGTGTCATTTCTGAACCACTGATGGAACGTCGTTCATGCATGTATGACACGTAAGGTACGGTACTTTATACGCGGGGACCAGCAGACCAGGTGGAGCCCAAAATCCCCATTCACTTCGCCGAAAGGCAGGAGCATCTGATCTGATGTTTCCACGCCTAAAGTAGTAAAGCCCAACGAGGATCCAACAAAATAATCTATAATCTACAGGCAGGAGGATTGATACTATACAGTTGACTCCACACTTGTCTTTGATAGGCCTATTTGTATCCCGGCAGTCGGCACAACTGCACAAGCGAGTACTCTGCTGCTGGGTTGGCAGCCTTTACTGCCTTGTATTGAAGAAGAATATCTCTATACTGATACGTTTTATTTCATGGGGAGATATTCTCTTTACTGCCTTGCATTTATTTCATGGGGAGATATTCTCAATGCAAGGTTGGAAAAGATTTTTAGATCGGTGTGGGCATAGGCTTGTCCTGATGGAAATCGATCTCAACGGAATTTATATCAGAGCCCCACGTATCTTGACGGGTCCGGATGGAGTAGGCATGTTAGGTAATTAGAATGAGTGAGTGTGTAATAGTTGTGTGATACATATCCTAGCTAATGTGCTTTTCGTCTAAAGGTTTTTGTTTCATTAGATAGAAATTATTCGTTATTTTATTATCTTTGTTAAAATAATTATAAATAAAAAATAATAGGTTTTTTTTTCATTGTTTTTTATTTTTAATTATTTTGATAAAGATAATAAAGTAATGGATAATTTTTGTCTAATGGAACAAAAATGTTTGTATGAAAGACACATTAATTGGGATATATGCCACACAACTATTACATTTTCACTCATTATGCTTACTTAACGTGACGTTTTGTATGGAGCAAGGTTTAACCAAGTTTTAACTGTTCAGCAAGCTATAGAACCAATGGTTTCCACACTAGTATTAAATACATGGGACCCGCATTTTTTATAATAGGGCCCATAAATTTAATACTGGCGTGGAACCTCGTCATTGGCTCCACAGCTAGTTGAATAGGGGAGCAGAGAAGATGTTTCCAATATGCAACCGTTACATGTTGTGAGGTCCGTGTGAATAAGGGTAAGTGGGGAGTAGATCAATTCAGTGGGTTGTGAAATGAGATCAGCTTCCCTTAGGACAAGCTTGTGCCCACACCATTCCAACCTCCTTTTTCAACCTTGCATTAGGAATATCTCCCCATGATATAAAGCATAGAAATATGGGGATATTCCTAATGCAAGGCTATAAAGGGTGATGGGATCTGCTCCTCAAAATGGGCGCCTCACACGCATATCCACCATGTATTGGGAACATCTCCCATGAATATCTATTAATAAGTACAGAAGATAATCCCAATGTATGATAGGATGTGCGTGTGAGGCGCCAATTGTGAAGAACAGGTCCAGTCTCCCATAAAAGCTATTCAAACGGGTTTTGCCTTTATTGAAGTCGAACTCCTGGGGAGCCGATAATAAGGTTTCATGTCAAAAATAAAATACATGGAACTCGCACCCTTTATATTAGAGCTCATAACCTATTAAACAACCATTCCATTCAGCTAATTTAAATTATCAATTATAACCTTAATCCAACCACATCTTTCACTCTAGACCTTCATTTCTCGTCAAACCCACAACATGTATTAACTCGAAAATATCTCACGTGTTATGAATATATAATTAATTATTAATCATATATGATATATATGATATATGGTATTTAAATTTAACTTTTATAAATCAAATATATAAGCTCTCATTTATATGATATATATATATATATAAACATTTGGATCGGATCAGTTAGATTGCCTAAGACAGCCTAAACCAACTCTGAAAGGACTGAAACACAGTAGCTTCTAGCTTCCCAAGGTGGGTTTCACACACATATACACAGCATAAATTTATTCGGAGGGATTATGAACCAGTTTAGCTAAAATCTTCAGCTCAGCTCTCGCAAGCTGGCTTTATATTGGATTGGAATATTTTAACCTTAACTTATCCAATCTTCCATCCAACCCAACTATTTTTTAGGTGAATGGTGACGTTGGAGGTTTGACCCAATTCAAAAGTTAAACTTTACTTCTATGTCATTAATTATACAATTTACCATTTTTCATGGCAATCTAGAATGGCTTAGGGCGCTGAGCTATGTTTAGTTGGTTAGAAATGGACCAAACGGTGGCTTCAAAAGGAAACATATGAGAACATTTGGATGGTTAGAAAATTCTGTCGCCAAAAAATAAATATTTTATGAGGCTGTGTCTAATTGTTTAAACAAATGAAATGAAGATAAATTCAAGAAATGCAAATTCTTCTTGTGTGTTTGGCTGTCAATGACAAAGCAAAAATTAATCTCACATTTCTTTGGGTTTCTTAACTGCCACAGCTTCTCTTAAATTTGATGGCTACAACTTTTTGGTAAAATAAAGATAAATTCAAGAAAATTGTAATGGGAATGAGTGAGACCAATATTTTTAAAAATCCCTTAAATTTTCTTGGTGCCCTTTAACGTTGGGCTGACAATATATTTTGGTAAGACTCGAGTGCAAATGCAAAAAAAAAATCACTCCCATTTTATCTATGTGCAAATCGAAAATCACCCACGAGGCTGTCCATGTGCCCCAAGGTTTTTAAAACCGACCCGGATAATGAATCGGTAGGGGTTCAGTTCCCGGGTTGAATGGTCCGATCGTTTAAATCGAATGATCGGCTTATTTTGACAAAAAAATTTAAAAAAATAAAAAATGCTCAAAATCATTGAACGGTTCAACCACTCGGGTCAGTGGTTTACTGACAAAATCAATATTTTTTTTTTGCAAAAATCCGATTTTGAGGAAAAAAGAAATCAATCACCTAACTGGTTCCTGGTTTTTTATCCGACCATCTGGTTCGATCCGATTTTAAAAACCATGATATGCCCAGACAACATCAGAAAATCATTTGTCATACTTTGAAAGTCAAAAACTCACTGGTGGGCCTGCACAAATTCAAATGCAAACTAGAGACCATCTCTCACACAGAACTGCTGGAGCGAATCAATCACACAAAGAATTATAGCATGGAGTTGCAAACTTCTCTCCCATGAGGGTAAAGCCACACTAGTGAAATCAGTCATACAATCCATGCCAGTTTATTCCATGATGACCACCATGATTCTCAACAAGGTTGACAAACAGATGGACAAGATCACTGGGGATTTCTGGTGGCAAGGAAACGATCACTGTCATGCCAAACACACCATAGCTTGGAAAAATTTGTGTAGGCCAAAAGCAAATGGTGGGTTAGGTCTCCAACACTGGCAGCCCATGCCCATGAACAAGGCTCTTTTTGGTAAAAAAATATGGCGTTTACTCCAATTACCAAATTCCCTATAGTAATTTTATTTACTCTCAAACAGTTAATTAATAGAAAAATATTTTCTCTTTCTTCCTTTTTTTGTTTTAATTTTCTACTGTTTCCTTTCGATATCCATTTTCTCTCTCATCAAATACCAAAAGCTTTACGTTGATTGGCGGATGGGACATGAAAATTCATGTTTTTGGTGGCTCCGCCTTTGATAGGAAGGAATACAAATACAAATATGTTGAATGCAAAACCTTATATTTTGGTAAGAATCCGAATACAATTATGTACGATGCAAAACCTTGTATATTATATTTATAAATTTTATATATACAATATACATATTTGCATTTATAATCCTCCCAAACTGAGTCTTATGCCCAAATAATACACCAAAAGTATTAGCAATGGTGTAATGCCGCAATTTTTTTTGCTGTTTGAATAAGGTAGGCACAATTTTGTAAGCACGTTCAATGAATACTTAAAATTCTTTTTGACACCTGTCCCTTAAAATACCCTTACCCACATTTAAAAAATATTAAAACCCACTTTTGGCAATTGTCAATATACTTATCAAATACTCATTTAATGTGTTTACTTATGCTGTACTTACAAGATCCGTCCCATTTATTTATTTTATTTTCTGTTCAACCAAATAAAGCCCTGTTCCTCCCATATATGGTGGGGCCGGTGAATCTTGAGAAAGAAAAAAGGCCCATGGGCCAACAATCAGCATGAAAGGATGAGAAAAAGTTTTGGGTAAAGTAGTGCATATTAGTGAATAGGAAAAATAGATGGTTTTGTTTTATTTATCACATGGCATGGAAGGTGATGAAAGAATTTTGCTTACGTGTTAACTTAATGGGTGTTTTACATCCTGCATTCTTCTGTTTAAAAAAAAAAAACAACTGCCATATCAGCAAAAAGCGATAGAGTTTTGCTGATGTGACAGTTGAGAGAACCGACCTTGTTGTTTTGCTGATGTAGTAGTTATTTTGTTTTTAAAAACCAAACTAATTATGTTGTAGAATATTCCTTAAGTTGCCACATGGCAAATCCATATGAGCATTATATATGTTTGCTAGCAACAAATCCGTTTCATATTTTCAATTCATATGGTTCACGACACAGACTGTAGCTTTTCTTAACCCTTCAAGAAACTCTGATCAATTTTGTATCAAATGGGATTCAGTTGCCTGCTGGTGTAACGACTAATAAGTACAAGCCACAAATACAATATTGCTGTATTTGGTTGCTGTGCAGTTTTATTCACATTAGTATAAATGCATGGGAGTGCAAATGAAGAAATGTAAATTTTAATTTAATTTTGTTTTGGATCTTATTTTATTCTGTTTCTTGTCTTAATCTATTTCGTAATCAAATAAAATAAGTTAAAATTTGAAGGGGTAATAGTATATAAGGGCAATTTTTGGGGTTTAATATCAATAAAAAATTAATTTATTTAAAAAAATAGATTAATTTTTTAAAAATAATATCAATAAAAAAATAAAAATACTATTCATCTTCTTCTTACCAAAAACATTGTTTAATAAGATAGATAGTACAAATGAAACATCAAATGGGCAAATTAATAATATAATTAGGTATGTATAGACATTAATGAATTTGGATAATTTATCAGAAAAACACAGAAAGAGCGGTATTCAAAAGGTGATCAGAGATGATACGATTTGTTTTTTCTGTGGGATGGAAGGAATCCCAAAATACATATTTGTTCGCATCGGTGCATGCAAATGGATTAAATCGACCACAGAGGTAACTCATCTCAAATGTTCCTGTTGCGCAACATGCCACTGCAACACTCTCGAATCCTGTTGTCACATAGGATAATAATGTATAAGATAAAATTAAGGAGATAATGGCGAATAAGCACTCTAATAATCTAATAATTAGAATGTCACCTACTTGTGTTAATAATATCTTAAAAACTTAATATCACTCAAAAGGTATCATGGGAGAGGTGATCAATCAGGTGGTATTTATCAAAATTTAAGGATTTTAGTTTTTATAAAAAGAAAACTGATTTTTGAACCTCTTTTATGTTCATATCACGTTGAGATACTATAAAAAAAAATTGTCAAATTTGATCTAATTTATCTTAATCGATTAATTAATATATTAATTAACTGTATTAAAAACACAGAAAAAAAATATTAGCTTATCAATTTATCTATAGAGCTGTGAAAAAAATTCAACAAAAGATGATTTAATTGATCAAAGCTCTCTTGGTACCATGTCTGTCTGGTATCATAGATTTTGCCTATAGTTTGTTATTTTTTCTTTTTGGTTTGAGTTTTGAACTTTTGATTTGCACTTCTTTGTTTTTCTGCCGAATCAGTGGCTCAACCGTCAACTTATAACGTATGCGGCTGGACCGTCCCTCATGTTTCGGATTGGCATCTGTCATTCTGTGGATGAACGGGCCAGTTTGAAAATTCGAATAGGTGTTGGCCTTGCAGATTTGGAGAGAGAGAGAGCATATCCCCATGCAGCATTTTCATTAATGGAGAAGTACGGACAGGTCTATTGCAGAATTTTGATTTTCACTGCAGATTTACAATATTTCAAAAGTTCAAATTACCTCCACCCTATCCATTTATGCATCAATGCCCGCAGGTGAATTAGCTTTAATTCCGAGTTGGCATCTACCTCAACAGTATTTTATGCTTATTAATTCTGACCCTGGGTTGAACCATCATTCTCCCTTTCATTAACCGTTGCATGGGAGTGGGTGCCAACAATCACCCCTTTAAAAGGTGGGCCCTACTTCTATTTTTAAAAAGGAGCTGTTTGAGAATGATCAATGTGCCTAAATTAATTCATTTTTTACTGGATAAGTCTATAAGATAATTGAATAACTAGTTAAATAATAAAAAAATAAGGATAATGGTTAAAAATCCAACTTGAACTCTCAAAAATAGATCTGGCAAAAAGTTGACCCAATCCATGAACCTGACCCAACCCAACCCAACCCGTAAAAACAGGATTAGGGTCTCATATTTAGCTATCTGAATTTGAGAATGACTTAACCTAATCCAACCCGAAAAAAAAAAATTGGTTGGGTTGGACTGGGTTAGGTCATAGGTCAACCCATTGACCTGATTGTTAGGTCCAAATGAAACTATTTGTATATTCTTAGAAGGTTTCTCTCTTTCATCTTTACAAATTATCATTTATTCTTTGAATTGTTGAATGTTCAAAATTTTTCTTGTTTTATATTTGGACTTTTAAAATTAATTCCTCTAATTTTAACATTTTTATGTACTTTTCATTTTATAAAATTTCTATTATTTTTAAGAATAACCTGAATTGACCCGTAGATCAACCTAACCACAACATTTAGGGTTAGGGTTTAGCATTTGCTCACCCAACCCAGTGTTTTTCACTTCCATGTGAGTATGTGACATGTTAAAATAAATACAGTGCTTCTGACTTCTGAGCTACCAAAGGTCCCAGCCCACTCAACCAACGCTGACCCTTCACCAAAAACGATGCTACCCCAAATTTAATTGCCAACTACCCACAGAAAACCGGTACTATTGATCACTCCACTCAATTAACTAACCCTATGACTTATCATATATATAAATATGTTATATACATCCTGGGGTACGTCTAAAGTACAATAGTGTGTGTTAACTTAAGAGAGTTGCTCTAAATAAATAAATGGACTAAAATTTTGGTGGTGGTCGTCTTGACGTGATTCCAATTTTCAATAAATGTCAGGAGACACTGGAGCTTCTAAGACAGCACGCGTATTGTATATGGGTGTTTTGGTCAATTTAACTAAAGATCTGTTTGGTTTACAGTTAGAATCCGGAATAATCTATTTTTATAGTTTGTTTAATTTAGATAGAAATTGAAATGAGTATTAAATTCAATTAAAATGGGATTTTATTTTCAAGGGAGTGGGAGGGAATGAACATTCCCTCAAATGGAAGAATACCAATTCATCAGAAATGAAAATGATATTCCAATTCTACTCAATCAAACAGTTATAATCGAAATGAGCTTTAATATTCCTGTACACCAAACGGGACCTAAATTTTTGCAACAACTCAACAAAAAAACATATCTACATAAAGCTATTTCTTTTTCTTGGTAATTAGACCTGTTCATGGGCCGGGTAGCCTGACGGGCCAGCCCGGCCCCCGGAAGGGCTTGAGCATGTGTTTTAGCCCGCGAGCTTGACCTCAAGCCTAAAAGCCCAAGCCCGATCATTTTACGGGTCGGGCTCGGGATTTGTTAAAAAAGCCCGACTTGGCCCGACTTTTCCTAATTTGTCTAACTCTAACCCTAAATACTTAAAATTTTTCTTTTCATTCTCCTTTCTCACTCTCACTCTCAGAAGCGGCCCTCATTTCTCCCTCTCAACTCTCAGAACCGGCGAACCCAACTGCACCTGCGAACTCAGTCATCGGCGGACGATGCCACTGGAAGTAGTCATCTCTCTCTTCGGCGGTGATCTCTCTCTCTCTCTCTAGCTAGCACCATTTTCATCTTCTTTCTTCTCATTCTCAGTTCTCTCTTTTTAGAACTAGGTCTTCTATCTTCTCAGTTCTCTCTCCAGCTGGCGCCACCAGAACCCAGGCGCACCGTTTTCATTTTGCGAACTCAGGCACCAGCGGCTGGCGCCAACAGATCCAGATCGTCTCTCTCTGTCTCTCTCTCTGGTTGTCACTGTTGTCATCTTCTATCTTCTTTTTCTCAGTTTCTATTCTCACTCTCAAACTCCCAGGAATTGACGAATTTAACAAGCACCATTCTCTCAATCCTCAAAGGGCACCAACACTCAGGCTCCCAGGTCGGGCTTCGGTCTCAGGCCCGAGCTTTAGGCTTTTTATGAGGACCGGGCTCGGGGTCGGGCCTGAAAAATTTATGATAATAAAGAGCAAAAGCCAGCCCTATGAACAGGTCTATTGGTAATACACGTTAAAATGCACTAATCGTGATAAAACCACGTCAGCTTCCACTTACACGCGAGGATGACGTGGTGTGTCCTTATTGGCCTAGTTTTCCTTAGACCTAGAGGATTCGGAATGCGACAATGTTCGAATAGTCAAAAGCTCCACTCACCACTTGTAATGTTTCATCATGTTATGTCCATGCACGTGGGCCCCAACTAGGATTCGGGTCCATGACGGTACTCGTCGAATCTTCTCCGTGGGAGGAATGGTGTCCACCATCACATGCATCCTGTTGGGGCAGAGAAGTAGTTTGTTTCCTACTCCGTACGTCGTAGGTCCACCCTAACACCACCCAACTGCCTTATCTATGCAAATTGCAAACGAATAAAGCGAATGGCCACCTTACGTGTCATATAACCATTGGTCCTTACTAACATTTCACCTTGGCGGTGAGCCGATGAAGCACCTCCATAACTCTTCTGTGCGGATGTGCAGGTCCCACCACGACGTCATGTCATTTAGGGTGGGGCCACAACAATGTATGATCATGTATCCAAGGCAATGCGCATAACCAACCCGCGCCATGCATGAAATTTGTGAGTAGTGAGAAAAAGAACAGAAATTAAAGAGAACAAGGACTTACCAAATGAAGATGGATTCTGAATGATTTCCATGAGGATATCGTATGGGTTTGAGAAGACCAGTTTGATCCCAGGAAGCTCCTGGTTTAGCTTCGCTACCAGACTCTGTAACTTCATATTGAAATCGCCGGCCACCCTGTTGTAATCCTCGATACAACCACTCCCGAACATGTAGTTGAGGGTTCTCTCCAGCGGCAAGCATCCCATTGGAGGAAGTCCACCTAAAGATATCTTCCGCGCTCCCAGACCGTAGAGCTCTTTAATGAAATTTTCAGCAATCTCGCAGAGGAAGTTCTCGTACTCTTCCACCGTGAACTGGGACGATCGGCCTATCAACATGTAGTAATTCTCCAGGAAGTCGTTGGTCCCCAGACTCATCAGATACAAGGCTTCGCTCAATACCTCATTCGCCTTCTGCTCCCCAAGATAGTTCCTCAGTCTTCTTTGGTAGACCTTGTAGTATTCCAATTCCTTCCACAGAGGTATTACAGACTGCAGCGCCCGGAATTACGCAGAAGATGAGATGAAAACAAAGGAACAAGATGATTCTAGGCTTACCCAATAATAGATAACATGCACAAATACACAGGACACTTACTAATACGGCAGAGGTGGCATTGTCGTAGCCGGTGCCGGCAGAGGCAAAACAAACTCCGGTCGCGAAGTCTGTAATGTTATACATTGGATCCAAGTAGGCAGGGACAGTCGGCTTGGCTCCAAGAGCCTCAGAGATGAAGTCGGATGGGATTCTGCCGTTGGAAAACCGTCCTGTGGGTCTTCCTCCCTCAAAATCACGACCGTAGGGCCTGAAGTTGCTCTTGAGTATGGTTGGGATCTGGTTGTTGTTCCCCGAGTCGACTGAGGAGTCACCAAAGACGATAACGGCAGGAACTCTGGCGGTGGTTTGGTGAGCGAGAAGCAGCAGCAAGGCAATATGAGTTAATAAGAGGCATGGAATGGTCTGATGTGCCATTACCGTACTGCTTTCGATCACCTGCACGATAACATGCATACAAGGTTATGAATTATGAAGAAGATGAACCAGGTAGAGAATGAAAGAGTAAAGCTATCTGGGACTCTGGCCGCTGGGAAGCGTTCGTTGCAGGCTTGCAGCTAAGAAGGTTGGGTTTCTTAAATGGTTAAATTCAACAATTATTGTAATAAAACAGATCGGGAGAGCCATTATGTATTGTCAGAAATTTGTGAGGGTTCCGACTTCCTAGCTGCCAACCAGACGGCAGCCACTTTATCGCCAGTTTTTAAGGGAACGGTGGCAGAGACGACACGAGAAATTGTGAGGGCTTCGAGTCACATACTCACATGATCAGGCATGCTACGTTATATTTTAGGCTGTCCTGTCAATGAGCCAAGAGCAGGAAGCCGGGACCAGCTGCATGTCCAGTCTCCTGTTGTGGCCCTTTCACCATTGCCAATTAAGGCTAAGCTCTCACCAATTTATCATATATCTATCTGAGTTCAAATCAGCCCCCAAAACGTGCACATCCCCGCCGTAATACATGGCCGGTATGTGGCGCGGGACGTTGTGGGGCCGGACCGGACCAAATGGTGAGACCGGTTGACTCGGGAACCGGTTCTGTTTCATCCCCAAAACCATTTGTCAATTCAGACAATGGGTTTTGATCATTTTTTATATTTTTAATTAAAAACAAAACGATGAATATATATAGACTCCAATTAATTCTCAAATTATCATGACTCTCTGAACTAACTAACCCCCCAAATATGGCACTAAACACTAAACTCAGCCATGTACTAACACAAGCACTGTAGACGTATTTAGCATACAATGATAGAAAATCAAATTAATCCCTACACGTCACTAACAACGTACCGCACTTAATTTGTCAGACTTCTAATCACCTCATTTTATTTGAATCAGGATCTCCTGCCCACGAGAAATTTTGCCCACGTTTATCTCAATCATATATGGAGAATAGCTCATCTTCTGCATAGTACTACTACGCATCCAATTCACGAGAGAGAGTGTATTGTGGGTAGGCGTGGGCAGGAGATCGGAGTCATTTTACTTACCCACAGTCACTAACAACGTACCCCACTTCTACATACTAACACAAGCACTATAGACGTATTTGGCATACAATAACAGAAAATCAAATTAATCCCTACATGTCACTAACAACGTACCCCACTTAATTAGTCCTACTACTCACCCGATTTTACTTACCCACTAACCACCTTCAAACCATATCCCATTATTGAAAGGTACTATCTAATATCTTGACACGTGGACTCCCTTTAACAGACCTATGACACACACTGTGACTACTATCAAACAACAATGATGTAAATCTCAAAAAATCAATAATGGCCTCCTAATCAACGGTGTAAATACATACTTTCACCTCAGGGTCTTTGCCCAAATAAAAATCTGCGGAGGAGGAGCCCAACGTTTCTCCTATCACCATCCAGCTCTTTCGCATCTATTTAATGGGTTCAAATTGAGCATGAGACTGCTCCATTTTGGCGTCCAACCCCAATGGCTCATGGGGTAAATTGATTTCATTATCACTCTTGAACACTCATGCATATGCTGTGATTTTCTTTCATGCCTTTTGTGAAGTTAACCAGACAACTTATTGGTTGGCGAAACATACTCTCGACTCAGTTTCTCCTGTTAGCAATTTTCTCATTGTGCTTCCTAGGCCTCTAAAGTTCATTTGTTGGCACGGTTTTTGGGAAAAGGTTACTCCCAGACTTGTGTAGCTCACCTTTACTTTACCAAAAAAAGAAAACGCTCATGCATAATTAAACCAGTAATTTTTAGAGGTTTTCTTTATTGGAAAATCCCCTCCATTGCAGCAGATCGAGACATTAGAGGAGAGATTACTGCATCAAGTGGCATTGAATGTCAAGAACATATATACAGTTTCTATGGAAGCAATAAACAGGAAACAAATTCTCTTTGGCTCAGGCCTTGTTTGGGAGTGCTTAAAAATAAGTGTTTATTCAAAATAAGTATTTATTTGGACTATTAAACACTTAAATTAGTATTTAGGAAATAAGCCCAAAATAAGTGTTTTTTTTTAAATAAGAACTTATTTTTTAAGTCTAAATTTCCAGCTTTTTTTAAGTACTTATACAATAAGCACTTATTCAATTTTTTTCTTCCAAAATTATTCCTAGTCGAATTTTAAAATATCACTTATAAAATTATGCTTAGTTGAATTTTATAAAAGTACTTTCGTAAAAGTATTTTCACAAAAGTGTTCTTATAAAAATAATTTAGTAAAAGTGCTTTCATAAGGGTATATTTTGAAAACTTGAAAGAAAATAAAGGACAAAATAGTCACAAATGCTTATTGGAGAAAAAGACTACAAAACGTGTCAAATGCAAATAAGTGCTTATTTGAATAAGCACTTGTTTTTAAGCACTTATTTTTAACTTAAGCACTCCCAGACATGGCCTCAGTTTGGGAAGAGTGCAAACGCAAGTATGTATAATGTAAATACATGGTTTAGAAATATTTCCATTGAACATATTTGTATTTACACTCTTCCCAAATGGAGCCAATTTAATACTAGATTTATATACATTTTCAAAATTTCACAGAAAAAAAACCAGCCATAAGCTTTTTGTAGAGGAGTAAATTGAGTTGTGACGGGTTGTGCTTGTTACCTCTCGGATGCTTCAGAGGTCTAGCCCGACACAGCCCATGGCTCAGGCCCAAGAAGGGGTGGACTCGAGCCAAGCCGAGCCGAATATCTAGCTATTCAACCTTGGCTCGCCAATAAAGTTTGAGGCTCAAGCTGAGCTCGATTCGAGCTAGAAACTTGAACTCAAGTGAAAAGCTCGTAAGCTCAAGCTTGATTGTGAACCACGTGTTTTATAAAAAAATTATTTTTATTTGACATTTAAAAATTAAAAATTATAAAAACTAAGTCATTATTATATATAAAAAATAAAAATATTATATATAATATTTTTTATTTATGTATATATATTATTTTTATACGTATAATACTTTTATATTTATTATTTTTTACATGCATAATATGTATGCATGCATATTATGTATGTATGTATGTATGCATGTACGTATCTATACATATATGCAAAAGCTTGATTAGCAAACGAGCTTATATATTGGGCTCGAGCTCGGCTTGAAGCTCAGTTTAGATCGAGCCGAACTGGCTTTTTACGAGCCAATCTTGAATAGCTTGTGAAAAGCTCAACTTGTGGCCACCCTTACAAGTGGGACCAGATTGTGTTGTGGGCTGGGTTGGGCCAAGCCATGAGAGGTATGTTTAAAATAATAATAATAATAAAAATAACAAAAATTTTAAAATAAATTAACAAAATAGAAAAATTAATAAAATATATTAAAATTCTATTTTATATGAATTTTGATGTATACAATTGTTTATATATGAAATAATAACATAAAATTAAAAAATTACAATACAACTAGAATAAAATAGTATAATAAAATTGAAAATCTATCTATCTATCTATCGATCAACAACCTTGCATTACCCCAACCAATTGGTCCACGCCACCTTGCTTCTCCTTGTTCCATTACCCCAACTTTGCATTCTCCTTGATTCTCTCTCCTCTCCCCCTTCCCACCACTCCTAATTTGCCATCTCAGCACCCTTTCTCTCTTCATTCCTCTCTCTTCCCATTGGGTTCACTCTCTCCCCACAAATCAAACAATATTTATATCTATAGACATTATTTCAAGAAAAGAGAGGGGAATAAGGGGAATTTGATGTTTCCTATATATTTAAGGCATCTTACATTATTGCTAAATAATCCATTAGTTACGAAAATTATTAAAAATTTCTAGAAAATATTCTACCAAAAATAATGAAATAATTATTTCAGAAATAATCCATTCTTTAACAAACATTAAATAATTTAATAATCTACCAAAAGCTGATAAACAACCCATTATTTAATAATTTTTTGTTATTAATAAATGTTCAAAATTTCAACGTTTAGCGTAATTTACATTAATCATTGTAATTTAATATTTTCATTAAATTTTTACAATAATAGTTTATTGATAAAATATGTTACTAATTAGCGTAATTTACTAATTTCTATAAAATCAATAATTATAGTTAATAATTATCAAATATTTTAGGAACACTCTTTAAATAATAATCCATTATTATTTTTCAACTAAATAAATAATTAAAAAATATGAAATTAATCTATGAAAATAATATTCTCTAAAACTATTTAAATAATAATCCATTATTATTTTTTAACTAAATAATTATTAAAAATTTAGGAAATTAATCTATCAAAAATCATTTCATAATTATTTAAATAACAATCCATTATTATTATTTCAATAAATAATTATTAAATCATTTTGGAAAATTATTAAGTCTATTCACACCGATCTAGACCACTTTCTTGACTTCGATCATACCTGGTTTTACATTAATTAAAAACAAATAGTTTACTTTTAATTAAAAATAATGTAATTTACCATAATTACATTAATTTACTATAATTATATTTACTTTTATTAGTAGTAAATAATTTAGGCTTAAAAAGTAAATAATTTACATTGATTTAATGTTATTATAAATAATTAATTTACTACAGATTACTACTAACCAATAGCAATTTCAACATTTTTTTTGGAAATTATCATAAAATGTTGTAATTTATTGTTATTTAATTTACTGTTAGTTAATTAGTTATAGAAAATTATTAGAATTGTAGGTATAACAATTTTCGTTTTAAAACTGGGGCACTACCCTGCCCCGCCTCGAATGGGACAAGTTTTCTCAAATCTTAAACGGGGATGGAGCAGAGGCTGGGTGGGGACAAGGAAAATATTTTTGCTCCAAATTAGAGATGTGGTTTGCATATAATTCCTCGAACTTGATGTAGGGGTGGATTCAAGCCGAGCCGAGTCGAATACTTGGCTATTTGAGCTCGGCTCGCAGGAATAGTATCAGGGTCAAGCTCGATTCGAGATAGAGACTTGAGCTCGAGCTCAGCTCGGTTCATAGTTTGCAAGTTCGATCTCGACTCAAGCTCGAGCTCAACTATAATTTTTTTTTGAAAAATAAAAATTATATGTATAAAATTATTTTTTATTTTTTAAACAAAAAATTAAGAATTATAAAAATTATTTAATATTATATATACAAAAAATAGTTATAAAAATTAGTTACTATTATACATAAAAAATAAAAATATTAGATTAATAAAAATTTCATTGTATATAATAAAATTATTTAATATATATATATGTATATATATAATAAAAATTATTTATTTAATACTAGGCTTGCAAGCCTCATGATTTGAGCTTCATTGGGCTCGAGCTCGACTCGATTAGCAAACAAGCCTATATATTGGCCTCGAATTTGGCTCGAAGCTTGGTTTAAACCGAGTTGAGCCGAGCTTTTCACGACCCGAGCTCGAATAGCTCGTGAAAGGCTCAACTCGTGGCCACCCCTACTTGATGGTAAATTAGTAAAATATCCATAGATTTAATATCAATTTTTAAAATATCTCTAAGTTTTCCTCATATTCTTATAATCGTAGAATCCCATAATTTCATTTATAAAATGCCCCTGAGTTGTCATAATTCAATTCTTAAAATACCCCCAAATTTCCATAATCCTATTTGTAAAATATCCATAAATTAGATTTTTTAGGTATTTGCCTCAGGGTGGGGAAAATTTGGGGATTCCCCATCCCCGGTGGGAAATGGATGCCTCGCCCCAAACTTGCCCCGTCACTGGAGTTGGGGCGGGGATGGAGTAGGGTGTTTTGACTTACGGGGTTGAGGGGTGCCCCATTCCATGCATTATAAGGCCCTCGCTAGTAATATATATCGTGCTGTACCATGGGCCCAGGCCAGCATGGCCCGTGTTATCGTGTCCTGTCATACCAGCCATGGGCCTAAAAACCCAAACCTGACACAGCCGGATTTACAACTCTAGCTTTCTGCTGCATGGAAATAAGCTACAGTCTAAGTTTCGCTCTTTCCAGGAAGTAGGTATATACTTCCACTTTTCCGGGGCCAATATTAAAGCCTAATCCATATCTGCTGACCACAACACATTGCTAGTCATGTTCATTCTGCCGCACAACTGGAATAAGAGTTATTCCAACTTGTAGTTAGGTAAAAGTGTCTACCAACTCATTCAACATTCAAAAATTTTCAAAGAAACAAGGACTCTCAGGCATGGGCCTGCAAAGTTTGTATCATCTGATGGTGACGTCTTTGTCTTAGACAACCCACCACCCCGCCGGCCCGCCGGCCCGTCTTAGACAACCCAGACATTCAAAAATTCATCTGTATGCTTGCAATTAATAATCAAAGGACGGCTTGTTGTTCGACGTAAGTTGCAAGTAAATTCATTGACATTCAAATCTGTCCAAAATAATAATAAAGGTGCAATTGGAACCTGTAGGCTGTAGTCCTGCCTTTCCCTTGTTTCCTCTATCCGCGCTTTCCATTTCATCTCCCACACTCAGGTCCCAATTCTAGAAATAAGAGGAGCCCATCAGCCTACGTATCCTGATTGATACAATCATACAACCACAATCAAGATTTATGCTAGCTTAATTCTCTATTAATTTTCCTTTTACTGTGTTAAAATGATCAATTCAGATATTAACATGAGCTCAATTTTTTTTTCTGCAACATCTAGCACTATTTGCAACAAACCCAATACTGTACGACTTATTATAGCACCCGGGTCCCGATATTAACTCATCATGCTTTACACCTAACCTAACTAGGTGTTGGCTGCCGAGCATGCTCGTGTGGTCAGTCATTTGTATTAGTACAGCATTAACACAGCCCAACCAATATTAATTAATTAAAGAAGAGGATTGACCGTGAAGAATGTCACCACAACCCATAATCAATAAATCACTTTCTTTAATCCTATTTTTTGTTTCCTTCTTCTTTTTAATCAAAACGCTTGTGGAAAGAAAACAATTAATCCTGTGGTTGGAAGGAGTATAAATACAAATATGTAAAGGTAATTTAATTAAGACGGGGAGGTCCCATTTGTCAGAGAAGAAGAGTACTACTGTTGCCTCTTAACAAATCACAAACAGAGCCAACGGTTCTTCCGGCAACCTCATTACTGCATTTAAGCTACTCCCATGCGACCCACCTCCCTCCTAATTATCTGCATAAATATTACTAGTCGTAGCTAGTGCACGCAGCTTCGATCAAAACTTAAATGTTTCAGCTTACAGGGAGTGACAGCAGAAGAGGAGATAGGAGGTGAAGGGTGAGAATGGACCATGAAAGCATGTCGTGGCTTCTTTTGTTGCTGGAATTGTTATTGATGTTGGGCATGTTGGAGGCAAAGGTTCCTGCAGTTATCGTGTTTGGGGACTCTTCTGTTGATTCAGGCAACAATAACTATATCCCAACCATTGCCAGAAGCAATTTCCAGCCTTATGGACGAGATTTCGAAGGTGGAAAGCCCACTGGCCGGTTTTGTAATGGCAGGATCGCCACTGATTTCGTGTCGGAGGCTTTTGGAATCAAGCCAACGGTACCGGCGTATTTGGATCCCACCTATAGTATCAAGGACTTCGCTACCGGAGTCTGCTTTGCGTCTGCTGGAACTGGGTTTGACAATGCTACTTCCGATGTGTTAGTAAGTTGAATACTGAATACTACTGCTCATGCTAAATTTTTGTTTATTTCTTGATCATGAATCATATATATCGATGGGGTGGATGGTCGAGCTACAGTGATCTTGAAGTGGTGATCATATATAGCTGAAACTGAAAGTGCAGCCATCACTTCCAACTGCTGGGGCCTGGGGTTGATTCTTCTTGTGAAGGAATCGTTACTCCTGCTGCTTTGACAGTTCGTCGGTGGTGAGAAATTTGGACAGAAATTTTCCAGATTCCTCACTGTGTGGGTGCATTCAGTCCAGAGTCTATTAATTGGCTACATGATGAAACACGATTCTGCACGGGCGCACATATATACACACACCCACGAAAATGTGAACTGTGAAGGCCTATTATCTTTCCTTCGTTAATTAAAAACCTTTGAGAGAGAGAAGAAGAAGAAGCAAACTTCCTTCAGTTTGGAAGGAATACAAATACAAATGTGGTGCAAAACATTTTAATTTGTACTATTTTATATGTATTTGCGCTGCAGATATTTATATTTGTACTCTCCAAACTGAGCATATGGATTAAACAAGGAACAATACAATCGAAACCACAAAAAGGATACTGCACGGATCAAGGTTTAAAGTATTAATAGATACGACCTAGTGCAACTTTTGCGGGCCCAACCCTAGTCCGAACCGGCCCAATCCAAAATTTTACATGGGCTGGGTTCGGGCCCAAGAAATTAGATTTTTTTATTTTTAGGGATCGAGTGCATCAAATTACAGTTCGGGCTGGGAAAATCAGGCTTGACCTCGGGCCTTAAGCCCTAATTTTAGGGCTGGGCCCGGGTTGACCATAAACCCGGCCCAACCCACCCAACTTGCACCCCTAATACGACTGGTATAGGCATATTATATCATATGATGATCCTCCGAAAATTGTTTTTTATGGTATTTTAAGAAAATGTTTTTTAATAGTTAAATAATATTAAAAGATCTATTCTGAAGTTTTGAAAGAAAAAAATAAAAAAAATATGATGCTTTAGGCTTAGTTTGGAAGGAGTGCAAATACAAATTTATCGAGTACAAAACCTTGTATTTTGTATTATTTTATGTATTTTCACTGTACATATTTGTATTTGTACTCCTTCCAAACTGAGCCTCAGGTACAAAATACCGATACAACCCTTCAGGTGGGGTGTACGATACTTTAAACCATGGCATAGATAGCCGTTGTGTTTAATCATGATTGGGCTACGTAAAGCTGTTGTACATACAACACTTTATTTGTAACAGATCCCATGCCAAATGTACAGTCCGGATGAGTTGGAGACATAACCATGTGCACTGGGTTGGGCTACCTTTCACGAGTAAACACGCCAATGCTAAGTACAGATGGGCCGATGAGACTCACGTAAACACCGGCATGTTCACTTGTGATAGGTAGCCCAGCCCAATGTGCATGATTCCAAAGGAAGTTATATGACATTTGTAGCATAAATTAGAGGTTATATATAATAGAGACTAGAGTATTGGTTCTGGTTCTAATGGCCATCAAGGCTCAGTTTGGGAAAAATGCAAAACCTTGTATATGTATTTGTCCTGTATATATTTGTATTTGTAAATCATTTTGAAAAAACTATAAATATAAATATATACAATGTAAATGCATACAAAATAATGCAAAATGCAAGGTTTTGAACTCGATTTGTATTTGTACTATTTCCAATTGAGTCCAAAGAATAATTAACTACAAATTTTATAGCCTCTTAATTTGAACACTACATGTTTGGTTGGGGCTAATATTAGAATTTATTTTGGAGCACATATGAAAAGGAAAATGAAAACCATTCTGATCTCCAACAAATTGGAAAGAGGTCATTTCAGGATTTCAAGAAATGGGTTCATTTCCATTTTTTTCTCCAAACAACGGGTGAAGAGAATGGATCCAAACGATTAGTTATGATGCATTAATTGTAAAACCATACAACCGGAACGAGTCTATTAGAAATGGGTAGGCTTGAAAATGTGGATCCATCCAATTTTACAAAGCTGCAGAAAAAGAAGAGACGATGCATGCTTGCATGGACTCTCAGAGTCTCAGGTCCTTTTCAGCATAATTAGGTGAAGCCCATTTCGTTTGGGCCACAAAATGTTTAGTACTATCTTCTATTCCAATAAAAAGTAAAGGCAATATCCCATCTTTCTCTCAAGAGCAACCAACCCCATGTGCTTCTTTAAATACTTTGCGACTTATGAGTCGTACAAAAGATTGAGAAATTAATTCCTCCTGATCAAATTGCATCAGCAGCATAAGGCTATTAATGGGTTGGGTCCGATCCGACGGACCTGAATCGATTGGATTGGTTTTGATTTCAGGCCTACGTTGGTTTTGGGTCTTGATATATATATATATGTAAAATAATTTTAATATATTTATTATTCTTGAATCTATTGGGTCAAACCCATTTGTCTAAAAATTACAGAGTACAGACCCTATCAGGTCAATTCCGATTCCAACAGGACTACCCAACCTCCTGACATAGAGATCAGATCTGCTCCTCACGGAGCTCATCTCACACTGACCTCCCAGGCACATCCCACCATGCAGTGGAAACATTTCCTATGATTAACAATATATAAGTACGGGAGATGTTCCGATAAATACTGGGATATGCCTGTAAGGTCGGTGTGAGGTGCGCTGAGTGAGGAGCAGATCCAGTCTCGTCCCTAAAGCATGAAATTAAATGGTTCCATTAATTGATCTAATTCACTGAAGTTGCACTTACAGTCTGTAATACCTCTCTGGAAAGAAGTGGAATACTTCAAAGAGTACCAAAGGAGATTGAGGGGGTACCTGGGGAATTACAGGGCTAAGCAGATAGTGAATGAAGCATTGTACATGGTAAGCATAGGGACAAATGATTTCCTGGAGAACTACTTTGCATTTCCTGGTCGATCATCCCAATTCACCATTGAAGAATACCAAAGCTTTCTCATTGAAATCGCTGAGAACTTCATTCAGGAGATATATCGATTGGGAGCTCGAAAGATATCTATAGGTGGGCTTCCTCCCATGGGGTGTTTGCCAGCTGAGAGAGCTTCAAATATCAAAGACGGGTGTGCCTGCAGGGAGGACTATAACTTGGTTTCCAGGCAGTTCAATTCGAAGCTAGTGGCCCTTATAAACAAGCTAAACTCTCAACTCAAGGGAATCGGGTTGGTGCTCTCCGATATATATTATACCATGCTGGAAGCCATTGAGAAACCCCATTTGTATGGTAAGTTTTGTGTTCCTTTAGGCTGCTTTTGGTTGCAGTGCAAATTAAGGTTCAAAATATTGATACATCCAATACACCGGTAGAGGTGTATCGGACAGTATCGGTAGTTTTTTTTTTTTTTTTCAAATCCAGTTCAGAGGGGCTAGTTTAAGGTGGTCCGTCCACCCCTTGAACCGGTCAAAACCCCAATACACCCTTTGTAGGGGCGTATCGAGAAACTTCCGATACAATACGTATCGATACTTTGAACCTTGGTGCAAATCTGAATCAAATACAAAATTTGTACTTGGTTTAATTTTGCATATGTTTATTTGCAATGATGATTTACACTTCTACTTGATATAAAATTTGTACTTATTTACACCACTTTCCTCTACCTTCAATTCTCTCTCACATAGACTTATGAAGTTGGGCCTCCACATCATCTTGCTTCCCACCTCACTCCCAAACAAATAACCCTACTCCTAAGTCTTACCTCCATTCTCTTGCATATAGGGTAGGATTGCACCGTTTTACTTTTTAATTTATTTTTCACAAACAAGACAATGTCAAATATGAAACAAAAGTAATCCAAAATTTACACTCAGCCTATCTATGCTTTCATACATTTACACTTGTGCAGATGAAATTTCTGCTGCAACCAAACACTACTGATGATGAAAAAAAAAATTTCCATCCATTTTATATTGATATAAATATAGCCTACCCCTATAGAAATCAGAAACCCAGCAAGTGAGTATGGATTCAGTCGTTATAGAACCGTGTTCACACTGTGCTAATAGCCTTTTGGAGGGGAATATCTTTGTATTTATATGTTTTTATCCCCCCCAAAAAAAATAAAAAGAATAAGAATAATAAGAATAATCTAAGTATTGGAGACGCCGGAGGGCAGTACACTGGTTGCAATGTTGGGAACTTTTATGGCAACCTAATGTTGATGAAATGTTTGTCAGATTTACAATTTCCATTGTTAAACCTCAGAATGAAAATATGCATATAAGTTGTTCTTCTGGTCTGATCTTGTGGCCCAGGATTCGAGACAGTGGAGGTGGGATGCTGTGGGACCGGAATATTTGAAATGGGTATTCTTTGCACAAAATCAAACCCACTCACATGCACTGATGCCAGCAAATACATATTTTGGGATGCTATTCATGGAACTGAGAAGATATGTAGTATACTTGCGGATCATCTCATGAGAACAAGCCTGGCTGGGTTCTTATGACTGATGCAGGAATTATTAGTTTTTTTAAAGAAATTATTTCTGCCAAACAGATGTATCTCAATTGAATAATGCTGCTGTCAATGTGCACCTCTGTACATGTTCTACCGTAGAAGTAGGGCTCATTCAATATATAAATAAATAGCCACCTGAAGTCTGAACTGAAGATTTATGGTTTGGTTGGAGAAAACGACTAGCAACCAATCTATTAATTTTAGTAGGAGTTGATTGAGTAAATTTTGTTTTGGACTCTGACTCTCGATTTCCAACTTCTTCTTAATGGTTGGGCCTCTATATAAACCCACATTGATTGGCCTTATAACTAAAGACCACCTGTCTGGTCTTTCTTAATTAGGGGCATATGGGAGGCCCAGTAATAAATTTGCATGTTTCATGCAATTAGGGATGGTCTATGGTCTTTCAAAATGAATGCTTCTATCTTCTTTCAAATCAGATTTGAATACTAAAATATCTATTGATCATCTAGGGGTGTTGGGTTATGTATACAACCACCACATTAACAAAATCAAGGTGTTCTTCAATTTTCATGGTTGTGTTAATATGGTTCACTAATACAACCATTCGTTCTAAAAGGTATTTTCATTTTGTTGCTGATTTTAGAACCAGCAAATCATGGTTCCTGATTCAGCATAATCCTCAATTTTTAGAACTCCATGGAATGTAGATTTTTGAATACAACCACATGGTTCAAAAAGAAGCATAAACCTATATCATATAAATTGCAATATATATTTTATACAAGTGAAAAGATATATAGTTATATTTACTTTTAACATATTATATGCATTCTTGCTTTTTAACATATTATATTTTTAGTGTATTATATATAAATCAATGGGTATATGATCAAAGTTAAATGGTGATAAATTAATTGCTTCTATACATGTAAACTACAGGAAAAAAAATGACAATGTATTGAATCCAAAAAATGAACCATGAATAAAGCAGTTGTTATATGTGTCTCAAAACACAATCACAACATACATAATAGAAGGTCTATGATGATTTAAAACCAATACTTTCATTTTCAGAAAAGGCGGTATGGTTTTGGAATACAAAAACCCTTTTGCTAATCTCAAAACATAATCACCAATTTTTGTATTTCATTGGCCTGATTTGAAGTCAAATATAATTGTTAAGTGCTCTAGTGCATTTTAGTTTACTTTTTTTTTTTTTTCTTTTTCCTTATTTGCAATGTGGGTTTCATTTGCATTTGCATAAATACATGGCTGTGTAAATGGACCAAGTGAAAATTTTGATTTATTTTTTCCTTCAATTTTGACCTTGTTTTGTTTGTTTGTGAGAAATAAATGGGGTGTTTGGTACAATAATAGTGCATTGCTGTTGCATTTTGGACCAAGTGCTCTAGTGCATCAATACAAATTTGTATGAGAGAGATTTTTTCTTCGAATTGGTTAAAATACAAATTGCTATTTCTACCTAAAACATCAAATTTGGTGTTTCAATCACAAATGGCGATGATTAGTCACAAACATATATTTTCAAATCGAAGACACTCATATGATGTAACAACACAAATACATATTTCTCACAAATTTGTATTGATCTCCCTAAAATGCCCAAACACCCCCAAAATTGGAAGTAAAATGATATGTTCCCACTTTATTTGAAAGAGAATGAAAGTGGGAATAGAGTTATTCCTTTGGAAACAAGGAAAAGAGCAAGATGCCATGCCCCCCCACCCCCACTTTGTATGAGAGAGAATTGACATAAGAAGAAGGTGGTACAAATTCTGCATTACTTTTTGAAATGCAAAAATTCCATTATTAGTGTATATAAATCTATATTTATACTACTATTAAAAGTACAAATGAGAGTATATGTGGAACTTTTCTTTGACTAAAATATACTACTTTTCACCTTATTTAATTCCTTTTCATTAAGTTTTATATTTAAGGTATTGACTCCCATCATCTTTCTTTGAATTATTTTCTTGATTAAAATGCCCTTAATTGTGAGGGCAAAAAATGTAATTTGAACTATTTTTTACCTCATTCAATACCCTCTCATTAAATCTTATATTTAAGGTATTAATTCCTATTCCTCTCATTAAATCCTATATTTGAGCTATTTTTATCATTAATGAATTGTATATTTTTTTCTTCAAATAATTTTTTTTTTTTCAATTAGATCTATATCCAATACTTTTAGCAATACAAAACTCATGTTTAAAACCAACCAAAAAATGACACCATTCTTTCATCTTGGTGATGGATAAGTAATTCAACCATCTAAGTTAAATGGATCAATCCACGATGTTATAGTTAAATAATAAAACTTGTAAAATGGAAACAAATACAAAAAAATAAAAAATAAAATATAGAAAACTAGGCACATATCTAATATTTCATATTAATCATATTAAAGAAAAATGTGTATTGTTAAACAATAATTCTCTTTATTGATACTGAAAATGAAATACAAGATTTAAAATTGACCCAAAAATGAAATTGTTTTTCTATTTGGTGGAAGTTCAACAATTCAACCTTTTGAGCCAAATGTGTCAAACCTTCATGTCATAATTAAATAATAATAAATAAAAACAAAAAAAATGAAAATACAGAAATTCACTAATATTTTATATTAACCATATTAAATAAAAATAAGTGTGATAAGGAAGAATTGTTTTTATTGATGATGGAAATGAAATACAAAACATAAAGTCAACCCAAAAAAATTAAATTGTTTTCCTATTTGGTATAGAGTCAACAATTTAACTTTTTGGATCAAATGTGCCAGCCCTTGATATTATAGTTAAATAATAAAAATGTAAAAAAGATAGAAACACACGAAAAATTATGAAATAAGCAGAAATGTTGTAGAAAACATTTGGGCACATCTCTTATATTTTATTAATCATATTAATGAAAAGAATGCGATAAAAAGAGTTGTTTTTTATTTATGGTGGTAATGAAATATAAATTCAAAACTAACCCTTGATGTCATAATTAAATAATAAAAATTAAAAGAAAAAATGATGCAAGGACAAAAAAAATTAAAAAAGATGAATTCATTTTGGGTAGAGCTCTAATATCATATATTCATTATATTAAACAAAAATAAGTATTATAAATAAGAATTATTTTTTACACAAAAAGATAAAAATTATTGAAAATTTTGAAAACATATTATTACTATCGTCCTCATCATCTAAAATTGCCACATGAAAAGCACGTGGACATTTATTAGTGAGACAAAAGTAAAAATTTTGTATCATGCAGAATATAAATTATAGCTTCAGTTTGGAAGGAGCTTAGTACAAATACATACAAAATAATATAAAATACAAGGTTTTATGCTCTACATATTTGTATTTATATTCCTTCCAAACTGAGATAATTACAAACAAAAAGCTGCAAAATGTATATACGGTTCAGACTAACCTTAAGAACACATGAGGAGGTTGTGGATCTGGGTTATATTATGGATCTAAGCGTGATTTTAAATGCAAGCACAGTGAGTCTTGGACTTAGTTGCAGCATTGGTCGCAATTAGCACGACCTAGGCCTGAGAAGAAGATGGGCCTGACAAGTCCATATTAGATGAACAAGTGGGCCAATTCAGGTATCCACAAGGGAGAATTTTTTGTTACTTTCAAGAAAATGAGTGAAGAATGACTTTTTCTCGTGATTGATGGATCATGTGTAGTTTTTTAAATAATTAAGGGATTTTTGGGCTGCAATCCCCCTCAGAAATCTAATTTGCAACCCCCTTCTAGTCTACTAGTAGCCCACTTATAAACCACATCCTGTCCTTAAATTTGGCATCAATCCATGGGCAGGATTCGGTCCACCCCTAGTCTACTAGTAGTTCTACCTAGGGGTGGACTGAACGGTAAAAACTCCTAAAATTAAACTCATAACACAAGAACAAGATTCCATTTTATAAACACTTGTCTGCACCGAAGTAAAAGCAGTGCTTTGGGTCGTCGGTCCTACCAAAATCTTCTCCATCACAGGAAATTTTGGAGGGTAAAATACTAACTACTTTTTTTTTTTCTTTTTTTTTCTTTTTACGTTTTAGCAAATGGATTAAGACTTATTGTACTGTTTGAAAAGTCACTTAGGCTGCGTTTGGAAACGATGTAAATAAGTGTGACTGCAAATATGTAGAGTGTAAAATGGTTCATATAAATTGCAAAATTTGGTTAGTTTTGCACTGATAAATTTACCTTCTTACCAAACAGACTTTTAACTGTAATGGATGCAAAAATGAATTCCAATAAAGCATATGTTTTTTTTTTTTATCAAAAGTCCACTTGAATGCAAATTTACTTCTTTTTTATTGATGTACTTTTACATCTTATTGTCAATGTAAATATGTATTGGTCTATCATTTGTCAATGCATAAATGTAATGTTGCTAAACATAGAGAAAAGTGAACCAGAGTGCAAATTTACCCTGAACCTGGATTTACACTCCATTTGCATCGTTTCCAAGCATAGCCTTAGGCTTCCTCTGATTTCTTTTTGAAAAATAGGAGTAGTAACCTTGTAAAGGTTTCCCTACCTTTCCCTACTTTTTCCTTCAAACCAAACATAACCAAAGTGAATCTCACTGACCAATTTGATGTATTCCTTTTCTGGTAAGCTTTGAGCCCCATTTCCTATGTAATAAGTAACTTTTCCACTTAGAAGAAAATTTACAAAATATAATGGGATAAGTTTTCTCATTCTACCATTTGCTTTTTAGGAGTAAAAAAAAGTCAATTATATAACTTACCTAGTAATTAAAAGAATATGGGTTTATGAACTTAATCAATGATTTTACTTGGATAAGTGGACTTTTGAAAATGAATGGGGCCTTAAAGTATTCCTACATTTTATGACAATTGACAAAATTCTCCACTGCCATTAGTGCATCATTACAATTCGTTCACATATAATTTGTTACATGTTTTATATACTTTTTCTTAATTCCAAAACTACCCTTTTATAGTTGATTTTACCTTCATTCTTCTTCAAAATTTCAAAATAAAACCCGAAGGACAGTTACCCCAACTCCACATGCCTTCTGATGGTCCCTTGAAGCAAAGATACAAAATTTGAAGTGCTCCAATTAGCTTCATCAC